GTCCGACAGGAAGTGAAAGGTCCTGGATTCTGTCAGGCGTGTCTACACGGGACGGTTTGTGCGGCAAGCCAGGAAGTGAACACGCAGTGCACTAGTGGGCAGCATCCCATGCACTCTGCAAGTCCTGGAGCGTCTTCCCCTCCCCGCCAAGACACTAGCAGGGAGAGGAAGGTGCTGGCTGGACTTGTTAGATTGCTCTGATTACGGCACATACTGAAGTCTGAGGTCTCCATAAAATCCAGCAATTTCCAATTAACTGTTGCTTAATTAGCTTCATGAATATTCATAATCCTCTCGCCTTTCCTTGTATGGCTGCACTCTCCCCTGGACCCTCCCCGTCAGATTCCATTAGCGATGCCCTGCTTGCTGGGGAGGAAGCGCGGGACTCGCGTTCTCCTTCTGCTGAAGTCCCAGTCCAGGACTGCAGCCATTGGCCACCTCGGGGAGCACGGCTTCCTGCTGGGATCCGACGGGCTTGGGGGTGCCTGGGGGAAGCCGAGGCTGGCCTGAAGGGTCTGTGAGGCATAGGAGCACCTCGGAGTAGGAAGAAGTGTGTAAGCAACTCGGTAGGGCAAATGGATTAGCTGGCAGGACTCCTGGGTTCTCTTCCTGGTTCTAGCCCTGTTCTACTGAGTCAGCTTGGGCAAAGCCACTTAGGGGCATAACTTATTTTGAGGGGCATAATCTATTAGGGTATGTCGTCCCTCTCAGCACTCACAGGTACCAGCTCTGGCCGAGGGCTCCCCTGCTCAACAAGTGGAAGGCGGGCGTGGTAGGACAGGGAGACAGTCTGGGGCCTTTCTGCTCTGCGGAGCTTTAAACCTCCCAGTGCCCTTGTTACAGGAAATGAGTTTGCTCAGGTATCATGAGCCAAAATGTGACTCCTGGGTGTGCCCCCGCTGCCCAGACCAGCTAACGGCCTCCCGCCACGAGGCGGCTGCATTTCTGTGGCCGAGTGGGTATTTCCTGGGAAAGCTGTAAGTAGATGCACAATACGATGGCAACCTTTGAGGCCCTGGCCACATAAATCGCCCCTTGGAGTAAGAGCTGAAAAAAGACCTCAGGAGCCGTCTGTGTGCGGATGGACAGACACTGTCACCACCCCAGTTTGAATGTCAGGGCTCTGGCTGGTTTCTGAGGCTAAGTCTAGGGGGTAGGCTTCTTTCCGAAGAAGCTTTTCCAGAAGAGAGCATCCACACTGCCAAAGCTCATCGAAAAAGCCATCGGCAGGTGAAACTGGATTTATTTGACACGTCCCATGTTCCATAAATCATGCTGTTGCCTGGAATTAATTATATTCCTAGACTCTTTTAACTAATTCCATACCAAATTCTACACTGTTTCCTCACCTTGTCCAAACTTTTCTTTCAAACTTTCTGTTTATTTTAATAGTTTGCATTTGACAGAGAACTGTCCCATGATTTCTCTTTTTTGCTTCTGCTGCTGCCTGGCAGCATAGTCTCATTCCAAATGAGATGTGCGGTTAATCAGCCAATTCATATCGCTGGTGCTCATTTCTCAAAGGTTCTACTGTAGAAGCTGCTGAACATGCTTCTTGACAGTTAATGGATGGAAAGTATTTCTTCAGTGCCTCATGCTATTTCTTTCTGAATGCAGAACAATGCTGTTTCTTGAACACATATTTTTTATGGAATATTAACACGTTTCCTTTCTCCCACTAGGAATTGGCCAAGCACTTTTCTTGGATTTCTTTTGTTCTTATTATACATAATCTCCTTTTGATAATTCTTGGCCCTGCCAAGCATGAATTTCCCCCTGATTTATTTAATATCTCATTTCAATTGTCATAATTTTCAGTTTCTATTGCTTGCTGTCTGGTTTCCCTTTTTCCCATTTGTTAAATATTTTATCCCCTACTATCTGCTGCTTTCCTTTCACCACTAAACTCTGGTTTTCTCCAAAATTGTCTGTTTCCTCACATTTGGAATCTTGGATTTGTAACAATCCAATACGATTTTCTTCAGTAACTCTTAATTTGTATTCACATTTCTCTATATAATTTTTTCCTCCCAGTCGTGTTTGATGATAATTTGTCAGATTTTTGGAATTAGCTGTTGGAAGGGCTAAGTGTTTATAGGGTAGCAGGTTTAAAACTAATAAAAGAAAGTTCTTCTTCACACAGCGTGTAGTCAACCTGTGGAACTCCTTGCCAGAGGAGGCTGTGAAGGCTAGGACTATAATAGAGTTTAAAGAGAAGCTAGATAATTTCATGGAGGTTAGGTCCATAAAAGGCTATTAGCCAGGGGATAGAAATGGTGTCCCTGGCCTCTGTTTTGTCAGAGGCTGGAGAGGGATGGCAGGAGACAAATCGCTTGATCATTGTCTTCGGTCCACCCACTCTGGGGCACCTGGTGTTGGCCACTGTCGGCAGACAGGATACTGGGCTAGATGGACTTTTGATCTGACCCAGTACGGCCGTTCTTATGTTCTTACGAGTTCCTTTCAAAATAGCTTATTTCGTCACTTGGCACTGTCTACACAGCTGTCTGCACAGTGCCAAATTTTGAAATAAACTGCTATTCCAAAATGTCCCTTACTCCTCGTGGAACGAGGTTTACAGGGACGTCTCAATAGGGAGCTCATTATATTTCAAAGTAACAGGCTTGATTCAAAGAATGGAATAGCTATTTTGGGATACCAGAAGTATCCCGAAATAGAGCCGCAGCGTAGACGCACCCTTGCTTCCCTTCTTTTTCCTTCTCTATAAGGTGGATATCCCTTGCTGGTAGCTGTGGCTCAGGTCAATGCATGTAGGCGAATTACAGATGTCTTCACCATCTACTATATATTTGAGAGAGTTTGTCTGTTGTCCGGCCATCTGTTCAAGAACTCCTCCTACACGGTAAGAGCTAGGACCACCACATTTGGTAGGCAGCTTCCTCTGATCATAACTTAAAGCAAGGTCAGGGTTTGGTTGTGCCAGGACAACGGGATGTGCCTGGAATGAGATTGTTTCTCATAAAACGGAACGGGAGGGCTCAGCTAGCAGGGACAGTTATACTGTGTAATGACCACATGGGGGCAGCAAGGGGCCAGAGATGGGGATCAGGACAACTATAACCCCATTGGGGCAGGGGTGGAGAATGGGACGGCTATCTGAGTGTGTGTATGTGTGTGTCCCCAACAGGGGTACATGCACCTCTGGCTCACCTGCGCCTGCTGGAACTGCAGACTAAACTTCTCATTCCCAGCCCCACCCCAGAGCAACTGTTTAAATGAGAAAAAAAAATTTGAGTCAAGGACCCGAACCCCGAGTAAATCGTCTGGTACGAACACAAAGAATCATAATGGAGTTGCCAGGCGGCAGCGCCCTTCGCACAAGGGACTGTGGCATTTCACTCTCCAGACTTAGCACAATGCAGATGGCAGACGCCGATGCTTGTCCCAGCGACACAATCGCCAGCCACCCATGTGTGTTCCCAGCATCCTACCGCTCTGGCTGCAGGGGCCTTCTCGGGTCTGGGTGCTGGCCGGCTGTGCTGCCTACCGCAGCACCCCGTGAAAGGGAAGAGCAGAGCCCTCTCCTTTGTGAGTGATGTCGCTCTGTGCACCCCAACATTCACTTTCTCCATCAGCCAGAGGAAAGGGGGAGGGGACATCCAGCCGGGCCATTTGGAAAATATGCAAATTTAAAGCAAGTGCTGGGGTTATGCCCAGGGCCGGCAGGGATTATCCAACTTCCACCCGGAGCTGGGTGTGAACTAGAAGCATGTGGTGCAACGCAGTAGCGTTCAGAGGCCCAAGCCTGCTTTCAGAAAATCCCTAGGAAAACTCCCACTGGCTCTGGAGCAGGAGGGGCAGCCTAGCTTAGCGAGTGGGCTGCATGAGGGGACCCCCTTCATCTGAATGGGCCACGACATTGTCTCCTGGGACAGGGTAGTTCTGCTCAGTGTGCCCGTGTACCTAGACTGTGCAGGGGACGCCGACTGAACCGTAGCAGCGCGAGGGAGCGCGAGGCTCTTGCAAAGTTGTGTGCTGTTGTAACCCGCTGAGTGGGACCTGGCGAGCGAGGGCATTCAGTACCTAAGTCGATCCACGAGAAGCCAGAGGCTGAACCGATGCTCAAGCAAAAGCCGGGTATGGAAAAGAAAGCCTGGAACTCTGGCTGCTCATCGGAGACTGTTGTAGGGACTCACGTCCTATAACAGGCGAGGCAGTGGGGCTGGGGGAGGAGAGCAGGGGACACCAGGGGCATTGCCCTTAGAGCGTTCAGGGCCAGGGCAGGTTGCTTTGGTTTTAAGCTTTTGTTCCGTTGTCTGGAAGCAGAAAGATTCTTCACTTCCCCAAACTTTGCATGGAGGTAGTGCAGGGCATGTGCACCTAACCATGCTGGCAGGTGCTTTGTTAACCCCGCTAGGTGCCTAACTCCCACTCCACACTTCCGAAAAGCCTGCTAGGCCTCTCTGCAGATGTAGGTGCCCAAATACCTTCAAAAGCCAGGCCTTCAGCGTGTGGCACAGCTGAGCCGGTTACTCCTTGAGCCCTGCTCAGTGCAGGGGGAGTTAGGGAAAAATTCTGCAAGTGAAGCCAGCAGCACCAAACCCCTGCCTAGAACTCACCCGCTTCCGAGCACGGAGTGGTCCCACTTCTCCTGGCAGGTAGAGAAGCCGATATTCCCATTGGACATGGGGGAAATCGAGGCACATGGCAGGCAGGTGTCATCCAGCAAGTCAGTCCCCCAGCTGGGAGGAGCACTCGGGAGCACCCCAGCACCCAAGTTTGTGCTGACACCTATAGCGCCTTGGCACAGGAGACAGACGAGACCGGAACAGGGGCTCCATTTGTGGACTGAAGCTGCCCCAGGCTGCGTCACGTGGGGTTTCAACCCCATTCTGCTGCACCCCGTTCCCCCTCCTGCCCAGATGAGGCTCCACCATCCCAACCCGCAGCCAGTTCCTGCCCCTTCCGCTCCCCTGTCCTGACCTGCAGGTCACGCCGCCACCCTCCCTGCCAGGAGCATTAGCGTCTGTGAAACTAACCACTAGTGTCTCCTTGCTTCCGATGCGGTAGGAAGAGGCTCTCTGCGAGGGTCTGGCAGCTCGGGTAACCCTGGATACGGAAGAAGAGATCAAATCCACTGATGAGAAACGGGGGAGGGAGGGAGATGCAGAGGAGAAAGATAATAGAGAGAGAGAGAGAATGGCAGAGGAACAAATGGCTCATCGGGAAGAACAGAGGCAGGCACATGGGGGGGGGGGGGGGGAATTTCCCCACCCACGTGAAAGCAATCAACGTCATTTTCAGCATTCTAGCCCCAGGAGAGAAGGAGGAATCCACAGACAATAGCAGCCTTCCCGGTGTATTTATGTCCCCACTGCCTTGTTGCTCAGCAGTGGCAGAGTTGGGCTGGGGACACAAGGAGAAGGTTCTTCCAGTAACTCGGGACCTGACAGTGACGGATTCTTCCCTTCTCGGGCCTGTCATTTTCCCTCAGGCCCGGGATCGCCGCAGTCAACTTATCAGATGCTAATGGCATTGTAGTGGGGTCCGTCCATTTGTGAGCGCCCCTTTGTGGCCAAGGGGTGTCGGGTAAAGTCTTTCCCTGGCCGTCTGGTACTTGCTTGCTCCCTGGGTCACTTCCCCCAGAGGCTGCCCTATCTGGTCCCCACAAGGCTCTGAGGCTAGGCTCTCACTAGCCTTGTCCACGGTGCTATCGGTTCCGCTTGTGGCCAGTTTTCAGCCCTTGGACCTGGGCCTCACCCAGGTCTAAGTCCAGCTTACGCTTGGAGCTGTCCGTAGTGCTGCTGCTCTCCCAGTCAGTATATAGACCTGCCCAGGTCAAGCTCCTGTGAGAAACTGCCAGGCTCTAGCCCAGTCGCTTCATTTATACTGGTCTGCTAGGCCCTGATTGGCTGTCATGGAGACAGCCACTCTATCCTGCCTGGAGGACCTCTCGTCTGCTCCTCTCGCTGGGATGGGGTGTGGTAAGGCCTCTGGCCTCTTGTAAGGGACGACGGGGCATAGTCCACCCCATCCCAGGCACATTCAAGGCATGGATGCACAGATACATAGAGACACCAGTGGGTGTGGGTGAGCCAGGTTTTCCCAGAACCACCCCTTTTGAGGAAGCTGCTGCAGGGCATCTGTCAGTGCACTGACTGGGCACTGCCCGCAGTCCCATTGCCTGGGCACAGTAATATCCCAGCATCTCCCTTTTTGTCCTCAGAGGTGGCAGCCTAGTCACATGTGTGCCCAGGCAGACACGGGCAGGAAGTGAGCTCTCCTGGGTGTGAGCTTGGCACCCCGAGAGGGGCACAGGATGGCTCAGGAGAGTGGACATGAGAGATGGAGAACGTCATTGCTCCCAAGCTAGCTCATAGCAATTGCTATCAAATGCCCCATGCACAACTCTTACCAAGGTACTGCAGAGGCCAAGAAAGGTAGCCGAGAGACCGCCACCATGCCAAATACCCCACTTGCCATGGGACCAGGCAGGCTGAGGCCTCTGTTTACCAAACCTCATTAAAAGCCCTTCAATGTGGGACAGTTTCAGAGTGTCTGACACTTTTTACTCGTGGGGCCCATTATTGTTTCCAAATAAATACAGCCAGCCTCTAGCTCCTACATAATGCATGTCAGAATAAGCGGGCACCCCGTCTCCAGTGAAGGCAGCTCCCTGAGGACTTGGTCCTCCGAGTGCAGAGACAGAGGTAAAACGATCACTTTTCCATTCCAACGCGCGATTCTCCTGCTTAGGCAACCAAGGATCAGATCAGCCCTATAGACTCCCGCCTCGCACTAGGAGCTCATGTTCAGCTCAGTCGTGGTCCTCAAATCTCTCAGTCACTGCTCCCCATGACCAATTCCCCATCCTGTAAAGAGGGCCTACCTTTCCTCCCTAGATGCATTGAGCCGGCCACATTAAAATGCATCATTTGCTTGCTCTGAGCTCACCAAGCAATGCAGATTCCTGTGCTGCGATTGCTGGGTCACTGGCAAACGGTATCAGTGCGATTTAATGTTTCCTTCCAGGCCATTGATAAATATGTTAAATACTAACAGGCCAAGAACCTATCCCAGAAACACCCCCTATTAATGAGGATTCCCTGTTTCCAGCTGCAACCCTTCATTTGAGCCACTGCATGCTGGCCACGCAGTCCCTGTGGGATCCTCTGGGGTATGGGCAGGCAACACACAATCGTTATTATTATTATTATTAAGCTACTCTGAGCCACTTTCTGGGCAGGCCAGGAATTACAAAGGCCAGGCTGGCTCTCTGCATATAATTCCCTCCACTGTATTTTATTTGCGAGAGTGGGGGAATGCCAAGTAGGGCTGAAGGGTCTGCCTGTAAATCGAAGCCGTGTTCATTGTCCTGCAATTGCCTGCGCTTCCACCCCAGTCCCGGTTTTTTGCTTTGCCCTGTGGGCTTGATGCTGGGTATTAGCTAATGGCTATTTACCTGCCGTCTCTCCAGACGTGTGGTTAGAACCTCAACAGCAGCTCCCAGGGTCAGCCGAGAACGACTGTGTTTTAACGTGCCGGGCAGGATAGGACAACTCACTGAGCGTATTGTAATGAAAATGAGTCATTCCTGGTCTCTCGCGAAAGGGTTGGGACTTGTTTTGCAACTGGGGGCTGTCTGTTTATTAGCTGGGGGGGGGGGGGGTCCTTCCTTATGTATGGCTGTGTCTCAGCACACCCAGGGGGAGGGAGTGTGACATGATTTACAGTCCGCTCCCTGTACATCCCTGATGCGCTGCCTTGATCGTTAGCGGTACCTGATCTGCCTAGCAGATGAGATGTAAAACGGGGAGCCCGAGCATCCGTGACTATTAAAGGTTTCGTTGCACTTGTCAGAATAGAGTGTTCAGTCCAGTGTCCGGGCTACCGTCGAGTCTGGGAAACAATTCCTCCCCTGTTAATTCCACTCCCAGCAACTTCACTGGGCCAAGCTGTTCCAGTTCCTCACTCCTCACCCCCAGCTGCCATGTTTCAACCACATTTCATGGGGAAGTGGCAGTTTCCCTGTGAACGCAGAGAGAAATCCTGGTTCTATGGTGGTCAAGAGGACTTTCCACTAACTTCAGCAGAGCCAGATGTCACCTTTTGTGAGCTGAGAGATCCCAATGCATCCCAACTGATTAGCAGAGCACCCACAGTGTCCCCAACCAACACCATGTGTTCATGAGTTTTTCTAGGTGGTGCACATCTGCACATGACTTGGTGCACGTAAAATTTATTCTGCACATGTATGGAAAAACTTTAGAGGGAACCTTGATGTCACCTGCAATCTGCAATGTGCTTTAGGATCCATCTAGTTGCAAAATGCTGAGTAAGTGACTTGTCCTATGTCATGCACAGTGATGAGGAAAGTCCTTGGCTGCCAGGCAAGGGAGCTGAGTGCCTGGCTGGGTGTGACAGACCAGGCCGTATCTGGGCACAGCTGAGGGCATCCACTCAGGGCGAATTGCTCAAATCCGGGGCTCCTTACAGCCCCCAGACTGGTGCCCTCTCCAAACAGGCCACAAACCAGTCACACAGAGCGCTTCAGCTGCCTGCCTGAAGTCTCACGCGCAAAACCCCTCCGGCACCCCAGCAATATCTGTGCCCCAGATGGCCCCGGGCCTATACACAGGTGGGGGGGGCCTAGCACCCAATCCCACCTACCGCGAACAAGATCTGTCTGGTTCCAAGAACCCAGCCACAGATCCCTGGTCAATTTACCCTCTGGATCTTACCCACAAATCACGCTGGGCCAATCCTTTAGAATCTATATCTAAAGGTTTATTATTACAATAAAGAAGAGCATGAGAGTAAGGTTGTTAAAGAATAGTACGTTACATGCACCGAATCTCCCAGTCCTCGATGCAGGCTCTAGCAGAGATGTTACAGCTGCTGGTTTAAAAGTTCTTGTTGCACATGCTAGGGTCAGGATGGGTTCACAGGTCTTCTGGGCTCTTCGATCCCTGCAGTGCTGCCTCTGGGATGAAGTGCTGAGCTGAGAACAAAATGGCATCGACCACATGGCCTCTTTATACCGCCTTCCTGGCCTTTTCTAGTATGTAGCAGGTCACCTGGTCAGAGGCCAATCTCTGTGTTCCCTGCTGGCTGCTCTCAGCTGACGGCCCCCATTCTTTGGGTGTGTCCTTGGCCCATTGAGAGCCATTGTCCCCCAGGGCCTCGGTAATTAGCATGTCCACAGGCTCGGCCCTGCCCAATGCTTAACCACATGCAGGGAAATCTCCAGAGTCCATACAAGTACATGCTAATAATTGCACACACAGACATTATACAAACACATGAACAGCGTACATAGGATTATCCGATAATAAGCTTCTATTCAATACCTCACATGGCCCCGTTCTATACCATTTTTGGGGCCAAAACCCCCCCCTATGGGTGCATCAGTGATCTGGCTGCTCCCCTCAAGATCCAGCAACGTGACACTGGGCCCCCAGGCAAGATGGGGGGCACCCTGTGTTCCAGGAAGGGGCAGGGCTGGGGGCAGCCAGCCTTCTGTGTTGCCCGGACCACAGTGCACACCTCCAGCCCTGCCTGGAGTGCACTGTGCCCCCGCCTACCCAGGCAGCCGTAATTACCACCCAGAGTGCACCATGCAGCGCTCTGGTGGCAATTTAAACAGCCTGGGCCTCTGAGCGCCACAGCAGCTGGGAGCTCTGGGCCCTTTTCAAATACCAGGCCTCCTTTGCTCACCTGCCCCTGTTGGCAGGCCTACATGGTGACCACAAGCACAACTTCAAGAGTGGCAAAAACCCACGCGGCTCATCTCAAGCTTCACGTGAGAGGCTATACTACAGCAAAGGAAGCAGAAAGGCAAGTTATCCCTCCCGCCAAAACTCGGAGAGCTACAGAGCCATAGATGTAAGAGAAGAGGAAAAGAGAGTTTGGCTGCTGTATTTCATGGAATCATAGAACACTAGGGCTGGCAGGGACCTCGAGAGTCATCGAGTCCAGTCCCCTGCCCTCATGGCAGGACCAAATACTGTCTAGACCATCCCTGATAGACATTTATCTAACCTGCTCTTAAATATCTCCAGAGATGGGGATTCCACAACCTCCCCGGGCAATTTATTCCCGTGCTTATC